CCCCGCCTCCCCCAACATCAATCAATCCTACCCCGGATAACAATTCTCCCAATATTCTCAAACAGTGCCCTGCCCCTCCTTGGTTCAACATCCTTACTCCTTATCACACAGTTCTAATCACCTCCTATCACAGCAACCCCCGGCAATCCACGCAAATAATATACCAGAACGTCCCTCATGAATTTATTCTTTACCCGTACATCTCCCTCTGCCGGGCCATACACACACACCAACGTCATCTATACCTGACCCCATAACCCATCCACACGAATCACCCTCCCCTCTCCCCCCTCACAATGCCTGACAACCAACGAGCTAGTTTCTTTCACCAAAATGGCCACACCTCCTTTCAATCTGACTGCATGCTCAACATACACATTATATCCATCCACCTTCAACTCATAACCCGGTCTATAATTGTGCTCCTGCAAGAACACTACGTCAACATCATGACGCACCAAATATTCCCTAAACCACTCACACTTTCTCTGCGTCCTCAAGCCATTGATGTTCAATGTCAGGCACTTAAAGCCGACAAAGGGGGTTTCCCTCTTGACACTATCAACTTATCACCTGATCGTTTCGTTGCACCCTTTTCCCTCCCCCCCCTTTCTGGGCACACTTACCCAACCCCTGCCCCTGAGTGCCACTTGGACCTCTCCGCATGGCATCCGCCCATGTTCTCTTCCCAGGCCGTTGTGCGGGCGTAAGCACATCGTCGGAATCAGAAAGCACTGCTGCGCGCTTTCGCGTCGTGCCCTCGACCTGCATCAAGTCATCCAGCGCAGTGCCATGATGAACCTCCACCTCCACAGTTCTCACCAACTGAGCATTCTTATCACACACTTCAGGCTGAGCTGGCATCACCATGCCCTTCTCAACTGCAGACCCAAGATCCAGGTCTGTACCAACATCCTGACAAGGATGCTCATTGCCCAAAATGTTCCCAAACGTCGACACTATCGACGTTTCCGCATCGCTACCATTCACTTCCGTGATGACCTCATCCAGCACTTGTACAACGTCCAGGGAAGTGATGTCGTCCCCCCGCATAGCCCCTGCCATCTCCTTTTCTTCGGCCCTCTCAACCTCCTCACTCCATGTCAAATTCTGCTGAGGCAGTGTCGAATATGGCTGATCTTGATCCTCTCTCCTTTCCTCCACATCTCGTCGTTGCTGCTGGTCCTTATCACCACGTCGTCTTTCACATTGCGCAGCCAGGTGATCATATGACCTGCACAAATGGCAAGTGCGTTGCTGCCCAGCACATGTCACAAAAATCTGAGTTCTGAAATCTTCCATCACCACGTACGATGGAATAGGATGTCTGAGCGTCATCTTGACAGAGTATGTACCCTCAGGTATCCCCATATACAGGCCAGCTGACCACCTTCCTGCAGTGACCGTATGTATTGTGCCGTATTTACACAGTGAACCGGATGTCAGATGCATCCGCCTCGAACGGCACATTCCTGATCTTAACCCATGTGTAATAGCTTGATACATCATGCTTCCTCACCCTCACAGCATGATTAACTGGTATGGCCACTTCCTGAAGCTTATTCACCACTGCCTCATACACTTTCGCTGAACTGAATTTTACAAAAATCCTCTTCGTACCGTTCAGTGCAAGTCCACAAATCTCCTCATTGGCTATTCCGTAGGTATCTCTGATTATTGCAGGCAGAAGCAACTCCATTGATGGCCCCTTTACAGCTCCACTGGTTAATTCAATGCAGACAGTATTGATATGACGCCGGCTAGCCTGCGCCATGTTCGTGAAAATTAATACTGCCACCAGACAACTCCAGGGGGCAGCAGCAGCACACGTCCTCTCCACTCAAGGGTTGAGAGACACATGTGATAGTGATAACATTATGAGGTTTACAAACTTGACACCTATTTTCCTCAAAGAATATGATTATATTATGATTTATTTTTTGTGACATAGTTTTATATTTTTATATTTTTATATTTGTTATATGAATGTTTACCAGCAAAGGCATATTAAGTGGGACCAGAAATATTCTGAAAATATAATACCTTCATAATGACAAGGAGCTAAATTATATTTCACTTTTATATATAATGAAACCCATAATCTACGACAAATATCAAAGTACATTTTTTTCCCGAATATCTTTCAACCAAGCCGAGTATAAAAGATGTAATAATATATTATCTAGGCAAACAGCTTTTACAATCTCTGAAGATCATTGCTGTCTGTAGTGTTACCTACCAAGATCAAACACCGGGTGGAGGGGGGGGGGCCACGAGGCTCCATTACAACGATGATTTGCATCCGAATTAATATTTGTTTAAAAGACTTTCAAGATTGTAGTTTTAATGAGATTTATTCTGTGAATGAGAACAAAATATTGAGTTGTATAAAACAAATTTTCGTTTAGAAAGATTTAAATAACCTGTATAAATTATTACATAATTACAACCTCGTAGTGAGAGAAGTATACTTTGTGGAAAATTGCATTTATCTGTATGTATAATTATGTACATAACAGTAAATGAACATAGATAATTATTATTTATCAGTTAGACAAGTAGGAATTTGGGACACCTAGGTCGCAAAAATGTCCCCCTTCGATACCTACCACTGTCATATCCACAAGTTGCTCTGGACCTATTAATTAAATGAATTATACATCAGGAATTCTGGTAAATATATAAATTTGTGGACTGTATATTAAAAAATGATTATATATAAATTCACATATACATAACAGAAGGAAAATATATCTTAATATCACTCACCAATTTGACTGGATATTAAGTTGTATCATGCTCAGAAAAACCTCATTAACTAAATTTATGAAAACACTGGCCAGAATTATACACAAATCTAGAGAGCTTATCTGAGGTTCCTGGAGCTGTCTTGTCCAGTCGTCTGATATCTCAAGTTATGCAGGAATGCACATCCAACAATTTCGCCTCCTATTTGAGAGGTGTCAATCCAATTTTAACCTCTAGAGCACAAAAAATTCTTCCCATTACATTAACGTTGTATCCAATTCAAAACCAAGATGGAGAGTCCCCTGCTCAGACGCAGGCTTTCCGTTTTCTATGACATAAATATTATTAAATACAGTATGGCCATCTATTTACATATAAATACCGAATTTCTGGAAAATATACAGTATTTTCCACACTGCGGCCGGCCGGAGTTCGTTGCTAAACGATTCAAATTACCCCTTCCTTTAGGAGATGATTCCAGCCAGTTCTGGCTTGAGTGGCTGTTCTCCTAGTAGGTCTTACTACGATTTCATCTTCCGGCATCACTTGGTCTGCGTTATCTTCCATATCACTCGTGTCACTTTCCCTCAGATTTTCATTTACGTTTGATTGAACACCTAATTCCAAGGGGATCAATTTATTAATTGTGTGTAAACTTTCCTGGCCACGACACAATACTTTGACATTCCTGACAACACCTTGTGCATCTGGGTACAATGTCAATACTTTGCCCAGAGGCCACAATGTTCGATGTTGTTCAGTGTCAATTAACACAATGTCACCTGGTTGAATGGTCTGTCGATTTACTGCCTCTGTCGCACCATAAAAGTGTTCACGTAGTGTAAGAAGATATTCCTTATGCCACACATTAGACCAATGATCAATTTATTTAACATTTTAAATTTATTACACATTACTGCCGCATCATTGTAATCTTCATCACTTTCTTCTGTCATTTCACATATAATTATTAAGTAATTAACCAATCAATGACTTCACTAATTACCTCCGGTTCAAGAAGGACCAACGGGCAAATTAAATGTGGAAAATTGCATTTATCTGTATGTATAATTATGTACATAACAGTAAATGAACATAGATAATTATTATTTATCAGTTAGACAAGTAGGAATTTGGGACACCTAGGTCGCAAAAATGTCCCCCTTCGATACCTACCACTGTCATATCCACAAGTTGCTCTGGACCTATTAATTAAATGAATTATACACCAGGAATTCTGGTAAATATATAAATTTGTGGACTGTATATTAAAAAACGATTATATATAAATTCACATATACATAACAGAAGGAAAAAATATCTTAATATCACTCACCAATTTGACTGGATATTAAGCTGTATCATGCTCAGAAAAACCTCATTAACTAAATTTATGAAAACACTGGCCAGAATTATACACAAATCTAGAGAGCTTATCTGAGGTTCCTGGAGCTGTCTTGTCCAGTCGTCTGATATCTCAAGTTATGCAGGAATGCACACCCAACAATTTCGCCTCCTATTTGAGAGGTGTCAATCCAATTTTAACCTCTAGAGCACGAAAAATTCTTCCTATTACATTAACGTTGTATCCAATTCAAACCCAAGATGGCGAGTCCCCTGCCCAGACGCAGGCTTTCCGTTTTCTTTGACATAAATATTATTAAATACAGTATGGCCATCTATTTACATATAAATACTGAATTTCTGGAAAATATATGCAGTATTTTCCACATACTTGTTTAGATTGATATAAATAATACTAACAGTGTACCAGACCAGGTTAGCAAGTATACACTAGATTTATAATAAGTATACATGGGTAGACTGATAAATATAGTCATGTAATATATGCAGTATATATGAGTAGTTTGTTTAAATATGCCAGAGTATTATATAATAAACTGTCTTATAAGCTTCATTTATATATTGTGATTTTTTGTAGATGTGATTGGAAACGTTCATTCAGAATTGAATATTCCATAATATGAAGCTCTTTCCTCGAGCTCTCCAATTCTGCATTAATTTTTCTCATCGCATTTACAAAAAAAATCGTACTGAGGAGCTTTATAAGAGAGCTTACTATAATTAATATACGTGAATAGTAGCAATTATATACAGATAATATAATTAGCATATTAGAGTAGTTTGTGAAGTACATGGTGATGCAAGTAGCGTAGCAAGTATACTACTAAGATAATGAGGTACTACTGAGAATGAATGCCCCCTTGGTTGAAGCCTCGTCACCTTCACAGATCATCACTATCACCGTCATGGTGGTAGGCACCTTCTTCTCCATCATCTTCCACCTCTTCACCCCGGAGCATCCCTCCACCTTATTCAGGCGGCGCGGGGAGGTGTACCAGGAGGTTTCTACGGGACCTGAGGAACCCCAGGCCACCTCTTCTACTGACGTGGGTGCAGAGGTGCATGAAGCACAGTCGCCTGTTGAACACCTGATGGGCAGAGCCCAAATGTTATGGCGAGACTGGCTCTCTGAACCCCAGTTTTATCAGGTGAGTTGGACCAATACTCTCTTTCACACAGTTCGTTTTACAGGCAAAGTAGCAGTCATCTCCCTAAGACTTCATTCCAGAGCTCAGCTCCCTCTATGGTAGACTATAACTATTTTTCACCCTTCCACAGCTATTGACCTACATCGGTGACCCAGGTAGGATCAGTGGAGTACGACCTCTTATAGGATGCGACGCAGAAGAGCTGACTAACACCCAGGTACTGTCAGTGATACAATAATATTTCCAACATGTGACTAACAAAAGTCGACTATCACCCAGTTGAAAAAATTTTTTATGTGAGTACATGAGGAAAGGCAGTCAGCAGAAGACCTTACAGTTCGCATCGAAGTTATGTGCTGATAATAATAATAATAATAATAATAATAATAATAATAATAATAATAATAATAATAATAATATCTTTATTTTTACAAGTACATGTACAAGGTATACAGGAGTAGCTGACATCAATGATATACTACTATAAGATAGCCGGTTGTTATGCAGAGCATTTCGGGCAAATTAGGTCAGTTTTGTCCCAGGATGTGACCCATACCAGTCGACTAAAACCCAGGTACCCATTTCACTGATGGGTGAACATAGACACTGTGTCTCATATGTTATTATGTCTCACTGTGTCTCACTGTGTTTACATTTTGTCTCATTCTAACCACTTAATAACCTTACCCAGCCAAACCCACCTGAGAAAACCACTCCACTTATTATCAGCTACACTGGGTTAAGATATCTTTTTAAGTCTTTTGGAGTTTTAGCTTCAACAGTAATTATTTGTGCACTTGTCTATGCACAAATAATTATGTATATATATAATTACCGGGCCCTCACCGTGTGAAGCGAGAGCTTTTGTTATCAGGCCCCGGGCTACATCTAGATAGTTTTATCAGGCCCCGGGCTACATCTAGATAGTGTAAGGCAGAAATCATTAAGCAGAAGAATCTTTCATTTCACAGTACCGTCGCTGGAACAATTTACAACACTCACAGTGTGGAAATGAAAGGTAAACTAAATTTCCGCCCGCCTTCGAATTATTATCAAGTCAGGAGTGAGGAAGAAAATGATAGTAAGTACTTGAGGCTCAGGGCTCTGGGGAAACCTAAATGTTGTATAGTTTTCATTTCGAATTAGTGGAGTAGCTATGAAGTTATGGGTAAAAATACCTGTGAAACGAAATTACTTGCTTCATGACGGGATGACTGATTATTTTAAGGCATAGATAAACAATTTCAAATAGTCCTGTAAAATATTTATCTTATTGAAGACTTACGAATTTACTAAATTTTTAGTCCCGTAGACCATCAGATCAATAGTGTCCAACGAAGCAACAGAAATTCCAAACAAGTTGCAGTGACGTGTTAAAAAAAAAGAAACAATTAAATTATTGGAAAAATTGTACCAGATATTAAATGTAATCTTGTCGAAATAAGTTGCTGAGGACACAAGTTAACCACCATGGTTCGTGAAGTTGCTGAGGACACGGGTTAACCACCATGGTTCGTGAAGTTGCTGAGGACACAGGTTAAGCAACATGGTTCGTGAAGTTGCTGAGGACACAGGTTAAACACCATGGTTCATGAAGTTGCTGAGGACACAGGTTAACCACCATGGTTAGTGAAGTTGCTGAGGACACAGGTTAACCATCATGGTTCGTGAAGCTGCTGAGGACACAGGTTAACCACCATGGTTCGTGAAGTTGCTGAGGACACAGGGTTAACCACCATGGTTCGTGAAGTTGCTGAGGACACAGGTTAACCACCATGGTTCGTGAAGCTGCTGAGGACACAAGTTAGCCACCATGGTTCATGAAGCTGCTGAGGACACAGGTTAATCACCATGGTTCGTGAAGCTGCTGAGGACACAGGTTAACCACCATGGTTCATGAAGCTGCTGAGGGCACAGGTTAACCACCATGGTTCGTGAAGTTGCTCAGGACACAGGTTAACCACCATGGTTCGTGAAGTTGCTCAGGACACAGGTTAACCACCATGGCTCGTGAAGTTGCTGGGGACACAGAGTTAACCACCATGGTTCGTGAAGTTGCTCAGGACACAGGTTAACCACCATGGTTCGTGAAGTTGCTGAGGACACAGGTTAACCACCATGGTTCATGAAGTTGCTGAGGACACAGGTTAACCACCATGGTTCGTGAAGTTGCTGAGGACACAGGGTTAACCACCATGGTTCGTGAAGTTGCTCAGGACACAGGTTAACCAACATGGTTCGTGAAGTTGCTGAGGACACAGCGACTATCCGCTAAATAGTCTGTTGGTCACTAACCTTACAATCATTATAGGCCATAATCTAACATCACCAGTTAAGGATGACGAGCAAATATGGCGACAGATGAGAACCTGGTGAGCGGATGATACAGGGAACTAATCAGCGAAACGTCCTCAGTCTCACTTAACGACTTCATGTATCACCACAATCATTGCCTCACTACAATCATCAGACTCTACTCTTCCCCCCCCCCCAAAAAAAAAAATCCATTCTCTTCACGATTATTTTATTTTTTTTACCATTACTTAAGCCTAGGTTCACTTTATTGCGAAAATTCGGCCACTTGGAAGATCGAGAGGGCGGCCGCTTTAATAAGAATTACATTAATTTTAAGAAGTGTGTGGAGAGAACTTGCATATAAAAAGGCAAGTAACAAATAATTACTGTTGAAAGTAAAACTTCAAAAGGCTGAAAAAAAATATCTTAACCCAATGTAGCTGATAATAAGTGGAGTGGTTTTCTCAGGTGGGTTAGACTGGGTAAGGTTATTAAGTGGTTAGAGTTAGTTTAATAGTTTAATATGTTTATTATGCACCCCATACCCATCCTGTGGGCGGTAGTCAAAAGATTACAGAGGTACATAATGGGTCCAAATACTGGGCCCCCAAAGTTTCGATAGTTGAACTAGGTACAAAGGTAATGAACTCACAAGTTACAAAGGTAATGAATCCTGTAATTAAATTTACTTACTTACTTTTATACATGGCTACAATCATGAACAAATTATAGTGTAATGAGCAATTCACACTTCCACACCCGGTCACAACTGTAGTGAGTTATTGGTGCAAATATTGATTGTTGAGTCACACACACACACACACACACACACATACACACACACACACACCACACACACACACACACACACATACATACACATACACAACACACACACACACACACACACACACACACACACACACACACACACATACACACACACACACACACACACACACACACACACACACACACATACACATACACACACACACACACACACACACATACACATACACACACACACACACACACACACACACACACACACACACACACACACACACACACACACACAAATAGGTGAGTACACACACACACACACGAGTATACATACACGCACGAGTACAAGCATTCACACATATGAGTACACAAATACACATGCAAACACACACACAAGCACACACACACACACATACACACACACACACACACACACACACACACACACACACACACACACACACACACACACACACACACACACACACACACACACACACACACACAGTTGAAGTTCTTTTCGTATTATTGTTCTCAAACTGCTAACTGACAACCCAAGATTGTAATCTATTCCCTCTCTGAAAGAGTATAACTTAGCCAGTTCATCAGCTCTATCATGCATCTGAAGACATTGCAATGTGAGATGGAATCCACAGCATGTGCACTCTGACTCCACTGTCCACAATCTTACCATACCTGTGTCTGGCTTCTGACATGAGCATGCCACAATCTATACTTAATGAGTTGAGAGCATTTATGGATGACAAAGAATCAGTTACAATTAAAGTGTCAACCTTAGATACATGGACACATTTGAGTGCAAGGAGTATGGTAAACAGTTCTGTTTGAAGGGTAGATGCCCAATTATTGATGTGTGCTCCAGTTTCTTGAAGAGAGCCATCACTCTGTATGACAACAGCAGGACTGCCAGCTGCACCAGTGGATTGGTGAACAGAACCATCAACGTAAACAATTTGTGAGAGAGTGTGCTGTGTGACTATGTTATCAATAGAGAAGTGCCGCTGTTGCCTTACTTGACATAGATCATGTACCTGATTCATGCGGAGGTCGGTTCCAGTTTTTCCGATCCATCTGAACAGATGTTCACCAGTGCTGAGGAAAGTTTGGAGGGCTTCTGTGCAGGGGTTTGAATGGGCTTTCCTGAGCATATTAAGCCCAATTAGGATATTTCTTTCAGTAACACGATCTCTGATGCTTGGAATATCAAGTTCTTTTTACATATTTAAAATTTTGGCAGTACGAGGGCATCCTAAAATGATGCGCATTGCTTCGTTCTGCAGTTTTTCCAGCCCTCCAAGCTTCCAGTCAGACACAAGAGCAAATAGTTGCGCCGCATAATCAATCAATGATCTAATATAAGCAAGATACATCATTTTAACATTAGCACCATACCTGGGATGAAAACCTGCCACAACTCTAAGTGCTCTCAGCCTTTCTTTGTATTGGCGACAAAGTCTCGTTACAAGTCTAAGTAGTGGGACCTACCTGTAAATGGTTATGTATTCTAGAAGAGACCCATCATGCAACTGGATCTGGAGAACTGTGCCTCTCTGTCGAAGAGGAAGCCTATTGAGTCTCTTTGTTTTATCAGCAGACATTATCAACCCCAGGTCCTGACACGAGGCTAGTACATGGTTAAAGATGTTTTGGGTGTTGGAGATTTCGGTAGTGTGAATCATTATATCATCAGCAAAACTGATCATATAATGATGGGGCTGGCTAGGCATAGCATTAAGTAAGGCAGTGGTTAGTATGAGACAAAATGTAAACAAAGTGAGACACAATGAGACACAATCACACATAATGAGACACGAGACACAGTAACATATAATGAAACAGTGAGATACAGTGGCACATAATGAGACACGATGTAAATACTTGAACACTTTAAAAATTAATAAAAAAAAATCCCAATACCGTGGCTGGAACAATTCACCATAACACCGTCACTTTGAAGAGGAACTTTATGACGACGTTTCGGTCAATTTTGCCATTCCCAGTGCTTGAAGTTTTGTGAAGAGTCCCTGGTGCCGTGCTCACTCGAAAGCACCAGCAATGTTCAGTACTCCTACGCAGCTGACTCTGGATTCATCCAGTGTCTGGTGCCACTGTCAAGTCATAGTTGGAGAGACAAAAGTAGAGAAGGCCTGTCAAGTAAAGAAACCTTTTCCTCCCGACTTTACTATGGTCCAGGATGGACCGGAGCGCCGTCATGAGGTTTCTCTTCTAAATCTGGGTTTCTAGGTGAAGTGAGGCATTTTACTGGAAACGTTTAGATCTTTGGAACTTGATTCCAGGACTAAAACATTCCCAGTAAAATATGCTATAATGAGTGTATCTTTTTCCAGCCACCTGCTGGCATAACATACCTAAGGATTAGTGGGATGATTGTTAACTTACAGATATATTTCATTTCAACATGTCCAGCAAGATTATACATGGCTTTTCGTTTTGTAATTAAATTTACATAGAATTAACATTAGTTTACAGTTTGTTAAACTGCACTACAGTGATATTTATTATTTGTATAATAAAGATTATTGTTTTATTGACAAAAATGCTTTTAACCCGTGTTGGTGGCTCAGTCACGTGATAAACATACTCTGTACAAGGTATGATGGTGCTGCTGTGTCAGACACATATCATGTTAATGATACACTTGTCTGAGACATCAACACCATGGTATCATGTTGTTGACGGTACACTTACTTGTCTAAGACATCAACACCATGGTATCATGTTAACGGTACACCTGTCTGTGACCATAGTACCATGGTATTATGTTAATGATGCACTTTTCTGACACAGCAACACCATGGTATCATGTTGATGGTACACTTGTCTGAGACATCAACACCATGGTATCATGTTGACGGTACACTTTTCTGACACAGCACCACTCTGGTATCTTGGTACAAGGGAAGTGTTCTGCATCTTCTTTGTTAAACAGGAGTGACGCACGACAGAGCTGATGTTTCCTTCTGACCGCTGCATCTGCCTCTTACCTTGCAGGTGACACTGTTATATGGGTGCGCCCGCCTGGTAGCCAACCTCTCCAACATCTATATGCCCATCTACCTGCAGGAGACCATCCACGCCAAGCAGGTGAGTAGGTCTCTGCCAGGGTCCAGGAGAGACAACATTGATCCTAGTACTTTTCATATTTTAGGGCATATTATCCCAGTGGTTCTTATCTCCTTTCAGTCCACGACCGTCCAGGCCAATCAAAATGATTTCGTGGACCACCTCCTCTTTTAGGAAAGGATGAAACTAGTAGACAGCGTCCATTTTGCTTTTAAATGTATTTACAAACACGTCGTGGGACCTTGGACAATGTTCATGCGGACCACCAAATGCCTCTGTGGACCACTAGTTGAGAAAAACTTCCTTATCCCCTCAGCTGACTCTCCTTCGTCATTCATATTTTTCCCCCTTTAAAGATTAACCTATTTTATTTTACTTCTTCATTCTCAGTCAAAGGTTTCAAGAACTTTAGATGTTAGCATTTCATGTTCGTCTTTGAATGACAAGATGTTGATGTTTTGCCTGAGTCTTCGTGTTAACAAGGTCGTGAAGGGATTACTACTGCTGTTAGAACATAAATGGATTATAACAGTTATTGAATTGTATGAACCTTACAGTCATAAACTAATAAGCGGGTGTTTCTCTTACTGTGGTATCTTCTGGTGTTGCAGGAACTGATCGCAGTGGTGCCGCTAGTGATGAGCCTGTCTAGTGTGGGCGCCTCCTTCCTCCTGAGGGCGCTAAGGAAGGCTGTCGGCAAAAAGGTTACTTACGTCTCTTTTTGCTTGTTGGGTTTTTAAAATCTATTTACTACACGGGAGCATTAAGGCCAGAATCAACCCACACACTAGCCTTAAGGATATTTCAATGCTCTAAATAGGGATTAGATTAATTTCTTAAGGAATATACACTATGAGAAAACCATTAATCACTGTAAGTACCTTTTTATTTGTTATTCAGCATATATGCTTTACTTTTACAAAGCATAACTTTCCTCTAAGTTATACTATATAAAATTAAATCATATATGCTGAGGCTGACTGTAAACAGAGAATGACGTGACTGAGGTGCAAGTGCAATCATAATATACCACATATGGACCAATATACTAGCCCCCCTTAAATCAGGGATAATCACAGATAGCACTACAGACCACTACCCTACCTTCCTCCTGACAAACATTAGTAAACCACCACTTGAATACAACAAAGTCTCATTTAGACTCCATGACGAGGCCTCAATAAGGAAGTTCACAGCTGACCTAGAGATTGTTGACTGGCCTACAGAATTCTCCAAGGCCAATGGTATTGATGACTGGACAGACATTTTTCTTAACAAATTACTTAGACTATACAACAAACATTGTCCTATAAAAACGAAACAGATCACAAACAAACGGCTTGGTTGCCCATGGCTAACCAGCACCATTCTGAAATCCATTGACAAGAAAAACCAATATGAAAAGCAATATAGACAGGGCTTAATACACTAAGAACACTATTCATCAGTTCTCACCAAAGTAATAAAGAAAGCCAAACAACTATACTACTCCAGTAGATTCACAGACACTAGAGGAGATATAAAAAAGACCTGGAAAACACTCTCTCAGATTCTAGGGACCCACAATCTGAAAAAAAACAAGAATATTGTCCTAACTAAACCTAATGAAACACCACTACATCCCACTGACACAGCTAACAAGATAAACAACTTCTTCTCAACTATAGGATCTAATCTCGCCAATAAAATCCCACATACCAATGCCCATGCCAGGGACTACCTAAATGGGAATTTCCCAAATTCCTTCTATCTTGCACCAACTGAGCCCTCAGAAGTCACCGAGATTATAAAGTCACTTAAAAACAACTCAGGGAATCTGTCTAATGTCCCACCATTACTATACAAGCGAGCGGCCCATATCCTTTCGCATGCTATTTCATTACTTTTTAACAAGTCACTAGAAACTACCACCTTCCCGAAACTACTCAAGATGGCAAGGGTTACACCAATACATAAAGGTGGTGACCCTACAGACTTAAACAACTATAGGCCAATATCAAACTTACCATTGCTATCCAAAATCTTTGAGAAACTCGTGCACAGGAGACTATATTCATTTATAACAGCACAAAACATACTCAACCCCTGCCAATTTGGATTCAGGAAAAATAAAAGCAATAATGATGTAATCATAAAAATGCTAGATCTGCTTTACACAGCATTGGAAAATAAGGAATATCTACTAGGAATTTTTATTGACCTAAGAAAAGCTTTTGACACAGTAGACCACGACATCCTACTCCACAAACTTGACCATTACGGTATAAGAGGCCATGTGCTTGCTTATTTCAAATCTTACCTTACTAATAGGTATCAGTATGTCACAATTAAAGACACAGCATCAACAACACGGCCACTTGATACTGGAGTTCCGCAGGGAAGTGTCCTTGGTCCCCTGCTCTTCCTCATATACATCAATGATCTTCCAAACGTATCCCAACACCTGAAACCCATTCTCTTTGCTGACGACACGACTTATGTCATCTCTCACCCTAATCTTGCCACCCTCAACACCATTGTTAACGAGGAGCTGATCAAAATATCGACTTGGATGACAGCCAATAAACTTACGCTTAACACTGACAAAACTTACTATATTATGTTTGGTAGCAGAGCAGGAGATGCACAAATTAACATTAAGATCGACAACACTCTAATTACCAGACATAATGAGGGCAAATTCCTAGGCCTATACCTTGACAACAACCTGAATTTCAGCACCCATATCCAACACATAACCAAAAAAGTATCCAAAACAGTTGGGATCCTCTCCAAGATACGATACTACGTGCCGCAAAATGCCCTTCTCACACTATACCACTCACTTATTTATCCATACCTCACCTATGCTATTTGTGCTTGGGGATCAACTGCAGCAATACACCTAAAGCCAATAATAACCCAACAAAAAGCTGCAAGAATAATCGCTAAATCCCATCCCTGGCAACACCCCCCCCACTCTTCATAGATCTAAACTTACTCCCTGTTCAGTACATCCACACTTACTACTGTGCAATCTACATCTACAGGACCTTAAACTCCAATATCAACCTTGACCTAAAACGCTTTCTTGATAGTTGTGACAGAACCCACAGGCATAACACCAGACAAACATCTCTACGACATTCCCCGTGTCCGACTAAACCTTTACAACAATTCAATGTATGTCAAAGGCCCTAAAATCTGGAACACCCTACCTGAGAACTCTAGAACTGCAGACACATTCATCACCTTCAAAACTACCATTAGAAAACATCTTATCTCCCTGATACACCCCATCAACTAACTACACGAATACCACCTGGTGGTTCACACTTACACTCACTCACCCATTTGACCATAAACAGAAATATTAATCTCAATCTTAAAATAATGAATCCTATGATACTCCAATACTGAAACTATGTACTGTGCCAAAACAAAAGCACTCACATTGCTAAACTCACAAACTAGTATTTAGTCACTTAGTCATAATACCAACTTACCTCATAATTTGTAATATTTTAAAATAAAGAATTAAACTAAGTCTGCCCGAAATGCCTAGCCATGCTAGGCGTTCTAGTGGTACACTCTGTAATCATTATTTAACTACATGTAAACCACACAACAACCAAATTCTGTAAATTCAACATTGTAATCTTTATAGAGAATAAACTTTGAATTTGAATTTGAATTTGTGTGATGGGGACAGGCAAGCGTGGTGGTGGGCATCGTGATCGGACTGGTGGCGTGCACGATATCTGCGTTGCCCTGGATGCCCTTATGGGGTGTGTTCAGTGTGGCTATCTTGTGGGGCGTCTCAGGTTCTCTCCTCGTCATTATCTCCCTCGCCTTCACCGCAGATCTCATTGGACAAAATACGGTGAAAATCAGTATCTTTTTTACCCCCTCAATCTATTCAGTATTATATTTGCATCATTTAATTTTGATTTATAACATTTGTGTGGTATTCTTGATTAATTTAAGTATCTTGTGGCCAATGGTCTTATTTTTCCACATACTACTACTATTACTACTTCTACTACTGCTACTACTACTACTACTACTACTACTACTACTACTACTACTACTACTACTAATAATAATAATAATAATAATAATAATAATAATAATAATAATAATAATTTATATTCGAATAATATACACTTCATATGAAAACTTATTACATGGTAAAGCTTATATTTATACAAAGCATCTCTGATTAAAACTTTGCAATTCTGGCTAACAAGTTAATATACATAAGAGTGATTGCTCGACTTAGCAGTAACTGGTTCGTCCTTGATGCTGGTTACAGGACACTTCGGCCTTCGTGTACGGCAGCATGAGCTTCGGGGACAAGATCGTCAACGGCATTGCAGTGTTGGTCATCCAGGAACTTACCAGGTACTTCACCTGTCCCCTGTCTTGCTATTTAATATCTTTATTGTGCACACATACCTATCCTGTGGGCTGTGGTCTGAAGATTACAGAGGCACATGGGTCGAGGGACTGAGCCCCAAAGTTATTGATAGCTAAGCAGGTTACAGTAGTAATGAAAAAAATACGTGTATATATCTGGTTACAGTCATAATGAGTTATTAATGCAAATATGAATTCAGTGTAACTTATATATGGTCTTGAATGCACTTGTTGCTTGTTCTAGGGTTATAACATCTGTAACCTGTTATTGTAGGTCTAGGTTTGCTAATACACGTGATATTTCTTACAATCAAACAATGTCAAGATCCTCGGTCTCTGTCTCTCTCTGATTGTCTACCTCTGTCTCAAGAGAGGGCGAGAGAGAGTGAGAGAGAGAGAAAGAGAGAGAGAGAGAGAAAGAGAGAGAGAGAGAGAGAGAGAGAGAGAGAGAGAGAGAGAGAGAGAGAGAGAGAGAGACAGCTGGATGTCCAGCAACAAGATTAACGCAGACATGACTGCGGTCAAAGATTACAAGATTAATGTACCATACAGTAAAATGTATGGGATAACACTCAACGCCAGCACAGGTCCATCACTGGCTGAAAGATCTTGTAAAAAAAAAAAATATTGTATTTCCTTGGGATTTCACATCAGATTAAGTCTCAGGGTTATGACAGTATTCCAACGTGGCATAATGTACGTATTACAAACGTTTCAGGTCTGTCTTGGGTACAAGGTAACCTCAGCATCTTACAGGTTTGGCTGTACTGGAACCAACTGTTCTACCTACTTCCGTCACGTGATGAGTCTGGGTATCTTCGTGCCACTGATGTTGGCATTCATTGCAATCTGTCTCCTAGGCAATCAGAAACTGGGACGAACCCGCAAGATGAACCAGGGTGAGTATCATCTCCTGATGACACCTGCAAGGTGAACCAGTGCAAGTACTCCCACCTGATGACACCTGCAAGGTGAACCAGGGTGAGTACCACCACGTGATGACACCTGCAAGGTGAAGCAAGGCAAGTACCACCTCTTGATGACACCAGTAAGGTGAACCAGGGTGAGTACTACCTCCTGATGGCACCTGTAAGGTGAACCAGGGTGAGTACCACCTCCTACTGACTCCTACAAGGTGAACCAGGGTGAGTACCACCTCCTGATGACACCTGCAAGGTGAACCAGGGTGAGTACCACCTCCTGATGACACCAGCAAGGTGAACCAGAGTGAGTACGACCTCCTAATGACACCGGTAAGGTGAACCAGGGTGAGTACCACCTCCTGCTGATTCCTGCAAGGTGAAGCAGGGTGAGTACCACCTCCTGATGACACCTGCAAGGTGAACCAGGGTGAGTACCACCTCCTGATGACACCAATAAGGTGAACCAGGGTGAGTACTACCTCCTGATGACTCCTGTAAGGTGAACCAGGGTGGGTACCAACTCCTGATGACACCTGCAAGGTGAACCAGGGTGAGTACCACATCCTGATGACACCAGCAAGGTGAACCAGGGTGAGTACCACATCCTGATGACACCAGCAAGGTGAACCTGGGTGAGTACCTCCTCCTGATGACACCAGCAAGGTGAACCAAAGTGAGCACCACCACCTGCGTCTGTTTCTGAACGATTTAAGCAACGAACGGAATTAAAACTAAGTTATATTAAATTTAGCCGAAATTATCCCAAATTTTCTTGTTGTTAAATATAATTAAATTGTTTGAAGGAGAAAGGTAACGTCTGGTATCGGGGTAACGCCACAGACTTTTAATTAGTGGGTAACAACATGCTGTGAGAGGACGCTGTGTTATTAGACTAAAGCTATAGCTGTCCTGGGCAAGACCATTTGTACAGTGCATTTAGTATGAATTGTGTGTGGATGATAGATAGTTCCAAGGTCTAGAACATTGTGAGCTAAAATCTGACCATGCAGAATTATATTCCTGCAAACCCAACGTGGAAATATAAGCACATAAGCAGTATGTGTTTGTCCAGAGCAATTGGTATTAATTGTTGGCTGGATAAACACTGTAATAATAATGCAGTGCAATTCATTGACAATTGGGACCACTTCTTTGGCCGAAATGACATGTATGCCAGAGTTGGGGGTTCACTTATCCAGGGCAGGTGTGGGTTTTCTTGCTAGCTCAGTTGAGGGGGTTGTTAGGACTTTAAACTAGGATTAGTTAGAGGTATGGTTTAGAAATGAAAAAAAATGAGTATGGATATACTGACTTAGGCTTTGACATTAAGAAACTTAATAATAACGGTCATGGAGTAACGCTGCTTGAGGATAATTACAGAAATTATATAAAAGAAAAGGTGAATAGGAAAAATGTGCAGAAGAAAAAACATATGACTGTGCTTTATGCTAACAGTCGTAGTGCAAGAAATAAGAGTAATGAATTACGTTTGGTGGCGTGTGCTATCGAATCTCCAGAGAGTGGAGATTCCTTACACAGTAAATCATTTTAGTCATTCTCCTCTGTATGTTCTCCAATGAGTCTATATTCATCCTGCAGTAAGAAGACCAAAACTGAGCAGCATAATCTAAATGAGGCCTCACTAATGATGTATAGAGCTATAAAATAACTTTTGGACTTCTGTTACTAATACTTCTTGAGATAAATCCAAGTAATCTGTTAGCCTTGTTGCGCACACTTAGGCACTGCTGTCTTGGCTTTAGATTTCTGCTTACCATGACTCCCAAGTCTTTTTCACATTCTGTATGATCAAGCTCTACTTCACCTAGTTTATAGCTTCGAGGGTTATTTTCATTACCAAGGACTAGTACCTTACACTTATTCACATCGAACTTCATCTACCATTTTTCAGACCAAGACATTAATTTGTCCAATTCCTCTTGGAGTTCATTGCTATCTTCCTCAGAATGAATTATACGGCCTATCTTTGTATCATCAGCAAATTTACTCATGTCACTCGTAATTCCTTCATCAAGGTCATAAATGTAAATTATGAACAAGAGAGGGCCTAAAACTGATCCTTGTGGAACACCACTAGTGACTAATCCCCATTCAGATTTGACCCCATTAATGGAAACTCTCTGCTTTCTATTTGTAAGCCATGCCTCTATCCATGCTAGAACTTTACCTCCTATACCATGAGCTGCTACTTTTCTTAAGAGTCTCTTGTGAGGTACCCTATCGAAGGCTTTACTAAAATCCAAATAACCAATATTATATTCTTTATTACTGTCTACTGCCTCAAATGTTCTATTGAAGAACGTCAGTAAATTTGTCAGGCAGGAACGACCTCTCGTGAACCCATGCATAATTTGATTCATTAATCAAATTATGCTCTTCGAGGTGACTTCTAATAATGTCATCTATAATTGATTCTAATAACTTGCCCATTATAGATGTAAGGCTTATTGGACGGTAATTTGAAGGAATGGACTTATCTCCTGATTTGAATATTGGAACCGCATTAGCCAGCTTCCACAACTCTGGCACAACACCAGTAAGGATGGACGTATTAAACACGCTCGTTAATGGCTAAGTTCCATCTTGCATTCCTTAAGTACCCTGGAAAACAACTCGTCGGGCCCCGGGGACTTATTTTGCTTCAGTTTGTCTATCTGTTTAATAACCATGTCCCTCGTGACAGTAATATTAGCCAATTTGAATCCGTCAGGAACTGAATAATTGTTAATTTCTGGAATCTCATTTATGTCTTCCTGTGTAACAACTGACAAAAAATAGTCATTAAATATGGAACACATTTCCAGTTCGTTATCCGTCAACTGTCCATTCCCAATTTTCAGAGGTCCTACTTTTCCTTAACCTTCGTCCTTGAAAGAACCCCTTTGGATTGGTCTTTGATTCATTAGCAACTCTAATTTCATAGTCACGTTTAGCCTTTCTAACCCCCTTTTTCACTTCTCTTTAAGCTGAACATATTGATCAGTAAGGTTAACCTCTCCTCTTCTGATGCGCCTATAAATTCGCCTTTTCTCCCCTAATAGATGCTTCAGCCTCCTGTTAACCCATTTGGGGTCTTTATTATTAGACCTAATTTTTCTCTGGGGAATGTATATACTCTGAGCACGGTGTACATTATTAAGAAAACATCATAATTGGCGATCCCTTCGTAATCATAAGTATGATTATCGTCAATAAAATCATTAGCTAGATAACCCCAATCGAGATTTAACAGGTGTTCCCTAAGTCCATTATAATCGGCAGAACGAAAATCAGGGATTTTTACTGTATTATCATTATTCGTGTATTCCCAGTTAATGCTAAAAGTGATGGATTTGTGATCACTTGCGCCAAGCCCTTCACTGATCTCCAGATTATTTACGAGTGTTTTCTTATTTGACAAGACTAGGTCGAGTAAATTATTACCCCTGGTAGGCTCTGTTACACACTGCTTCAGAAAACAGTCCTGAACTATTTCCATAAAGTCACTGGACTCCAGATTATCGGTCAAAGAAGTCCAGTCAATTTGACTAAAGTTAAAATCCCCTACTATCACTATGTTATTGTGTCTAGAAGCCCTGACAATTTCGTCCCAAAGAAGTCTCCCTCTATCGTGATCCAAGCCTGGAGGTCGGTATATTACACCTAGAATTAGTTTTTCTTGACCTTCTACAAACTGTACCGAAACAGATTCTGTTACTGTACCATCTATTTTTATACCTGTTTTTATGCAACAATCAATATTTTCTCGAACATACAAAGCAACTCCTCTCCCCTTTCCCATTATATCTCTCCATATGGAACAACTTAAACCCTTGAATATTACACTCAGCAATCATATCCCGACTCTTTAAATTATACCACGTTTCAGTTAATGCAATGACATCAAAGTTCCCAGCACATGCTACCAAACGTAGTTCATTAATTTTATTTCTTGCACTTCGACTGTTAGAATAAAATACCATCATATGTTTTTTCTTTTGCACATTTTTCCTATTCATCTTTGTTTTTACACAATTTCTGAAATTATCGTTACCCAGAGTTACTCCATGACAGTTACTATTAAGATTCTTAATATCAGAGCATAAGTTAACATATCCATACTCATTATTTATCATTTCTAAACCCATACCTCTAACTAATCCTAGTTTAAAGTCCTAACAACCCCCTCAACTGATCTAGTAAGAAAATCCACACCTGCTCTGGATAAGTGAACACCATCCCTGGCATCCATGTCATTTCGGCCATAGAAGTTGTCCCAGTTGTCAATGAATGGTACTGCATTATCCTTACAGTGTTTATCCAGCCAACAATTAATGCCAATTGCTCTGGACAACCATTCATTTCCAACACCCCTTCTTGGCAAAATGCCACATATAACAGGGCACCCCCCTTCTTCCTAATTATGTCTATTGCTGTCCTGAACCTTCTAACTAAATCCTCACTTCTACGCTTGCCTACATCATTGCCTCCAAATCACTTAATTTCAATATATCATGGAATTACCCAGATAACTGCAATCAAATCTGTGTCCCAGACTTTCGCTTGGCCGATTTCGTGAGACTGAGAAATTACCTGGGTGGGCTAAATTAGGATGTCCTGACTATGGGTCAGAGAGGTGATCTTGGTTGCCAATATGACGTTTTTCAGAGCATAGTTCTAGCTGCCCAGACAACTTTTGTTCCCAGATCTAACAAAAATGATCCCAAATGGTTGAACAATAGATTAAAACATCTCAGTGGTCAAAAGAGAGGCATATATAGGTATATCAAAAGTGGAAATGGGCAGTTAAGCAATCAATATATTCAGTTAAAGGGATAAATAAAAAAAGGAATAAGAAAAGCAAAAAGGGATTATGAGGCTAAGGTCGCAAGGGATTCGAAGACTAACATAAAAGGGTTCTTTCAGATATACAGAAGTAAGAGTAAGGACAAGATAGGCCCACTTAAGAGTAACTCAGATCAGATCACTGACAGTGATAAGAATATGTGTGAAATTTTTAATACTTACTTCCTCTCGATTTTTACCCAAGAAAATACTAGCGAAATTCCTGAAATAATAGATTATGTAGAACAGGACGATAATAAACTATGTACGATTGCTGTAACTAGTGACATGGTCCTCAGACAAATAGAGATCAAAACCTAACAAATCCCCAGGTCCTAATGAACTGTTTGCAAGGGTGTTAAAGGAATGTAAAGAGGAACTTAGCATACCTTTGGCTAATCTTTTTAACATATCACTACAAACTGGCATAGTGCCTGATAAGTGGAAAATGGCAAATGTAATACCTATTTACAAGGCAGGTGACAGGTCCTTAGCTTCGAACTATAGACCAATAAATCTTACCTCCATAGTGGAAAAATTTATGAAATCAATAATTGTCGAAGCATTTCGTTGCCATCTTGATAGGCATAAATTGATTAATGAATCTCAACACGGTTTTACAAAGGGGTGTTCCTGTCTTACAAATTTACTAACTTTTTCACTAAGGTGTTTGATGAGGTAGATCATGGTATTGAATATGATATTGTGTATGTGGACTTCAGTAAGGCTTTTGATAGAGTTCCACATCAGAGGCTATTGAGGAAACTTAAGGCACACATAATAGGAGGAGAAATTTTTTCCTGGGTAGAGGCATGCCTGACAAATAGGCAGCAGAGAGTTTGCATAAATGGGGAGAAATCAGAATGGTGCCACGTCACAAGCGGTGTTCTGCAGGGGTCAATGTTGGGCCCCTTGTTGTTCACAATTTACATAAACGACATAGATGACGGAATAAATAGCGACATAAGCAAATTTGCTGATGACATCAAAATAGGCCGTCCAATTCATTCTAATGGGGACACTAGAGCACTCCAGGATGATTTGAATAGACTGATGCAATGGTCGGAGAAGTGCCAGATGCATTTTAATATAGACAAATGCAAAGTTCTAAATGTTGGACAGGAAAATAACCATGTCACATATAAACTAAATAATGTAGATCGTAATGCTACTGTTTGCGAAAAGGATTTAGGAGTTCTGGTTAGGAGTAATCTAAAACCAAGACAACAGTGCATTAGTGTTCGCAATAAAGCTAACAGAATTCTTGGCTTCATATCTAGAAGTATAAATAATAGAAGTCCTCAGGTTGTTCTTCAACTCGATATATCCTTGGTTAGGCCTCATTTAGACTATGTTGCTCAGTTTTGGTCACCGTATTACAGAATGGATATAAATGCTCTGGAAAACGTACAGAGGAGGATAACAAAGTTGATCCCATGTATCAGAAATCTTCCCTATGATGATAGACTGAGGGCCCTGAATCTGCACTCTCTCAAAAGGCGTAGAATTAGGGGGGATATGATCGAGGTGTATAAATGGAAAACAGGAATAAATGAATGAGATATAAGTAGCGCGTTGAAAACTTCCAGCCAAGACAGGTCTCGCAGCAATGGTTTCAAGTTGGAAAAATTCAGATTCAGAAAGGATATAGGAAAGCACTGGTTTGGTAATAGAGTTGTGGATGAGTGGAACAAACTCCCCAGTACAGTTATAGAGGGAAAAACGTTGTGTAGTTTTAAAAATAGGTTAGATAAATACATGAGTGGATGTGGGTGGGTGTGAGTTGGACCTGACTAGCTTGTGCTACTAGGTCTGATGCCTTGCTCCTTCCTTTAGTGGAAGTGACCTAACTATTTAGGTCATTGGGCTAATCCGGGGATGGGGGACATGGACCTGCTTCGCATGGGTCAGTAGGCCTGCTGCAGTGTTCCTTCTTTATGTTTGACGGCGGGTAACTATTATAAACTATTAGTTACGCTTATTTTATTATTATTTCCTTTACTTTCCTGTATTTTTCTAACAGTTCTCAATGTTGTTAATATTTGCTCTGAGTCCAGGGTTGCCAGGCGAGGATCCTCGTCACTAGTAACAAATATGTAAAATATGCCTTAATACCGATTTTTTTTCAGTTGTGCCACTGGAGCAAGGAGAACCCAGTGGCAGCACCTCAAGTTCCAACTCTAGCGAGCTTCTGCTGGCTACTGGTACCAACCTCGGCTATGGCTCCATCACCAAGGCTTGAGAAGCATTCTAACACTACCAGCAAGACCTGAGAAGCATTCTAACGCCACCAGCAAGACCTGAGAAGCATTCTAACACTACCAGCAAGACCTGAGAAGCATTCTAACACTACCAGCAAGACCTGAGAAGCATTCTAACACCACCAGCAAGACCTGAGAAGCATTCTAACACTACCAGCAAGACCTGAGAAGCATTCTAACACTACCAGCAAGACCTGAGAAGCATTCTAACACTACCAGCAAGACCTGAGAAGCATTCTAACACTACCAGCAAGACCTGAGAAGCATTTTAACAGCATAGCTTATATTTATATTATATATATATATATATATATATATATATATAAATATATATATATATATATATATTATATTATATAAACACTGATCTCTGGCCTAAGGAGACTCGAACCTACGAACCGTGGAACAAGGTACGCAGTGCCTTACCATTCTCACCACACTGGACCAATACCTTGGCGTCCAGCTTGCGCTAGACGTTTAATCCAAGGCAGCCAGCTTTCAGGGAGAAGGCTTACAGCTTTTGGAAGTTGGCTGGCTTGGATCAAGCGTCTAGCGCAAGCTGGACGCCAGTGTATTGGTCCAGTGTGGTGAGAAAGGTAAGGCACTGCGTACCTTGTTCCAAGGTTCGAAAGTTCGAGTCTCCATCAGCCAGAGATCAGTGTTTGTGTATATTTTCCCCTGCTCATGCGAATTCCTTGCATATATATATATATATATATTATTTTATATATATATATATATATATATATATATATATATATATATATATATATATATATATACATATATTATATATATATATATATATATATATATATATATATATCTGTCGTACCGAATATGTAAAACTGGTCAATTAGCAAGAACTCATTTAAAATTAAGTCCTTTCTAAAATTTTCTCTTATACTTTTAAAGAGATATTTTTTTTCATTAATGTTGATGTAAAAATTTATAATTTTACACAAAAAAGAACTTAGAAAACTTACCTAACCTTATTATAACAAGCGCAATTTATTTTAGCCTCACCCAACTAAATATATTTTAGATTTGTTTATAAAGGAGGCCTGGTCACAGACCGGGCCGCGGGGGCATTGACCCCCGGAACTCTCTCCAGGTAAACTCCAGGTAATGATTTAATACTAAACAAACACAGTGAAATATATTTTTTTCGTTAGGTTCAGAATTATTTTGGCGAAATTATTGCATACACAAATTTTCACTTGTCCTATATGGCAAGATGAGCGTTGCTATTTAAGCCAAGATCGCAAGTTCTGCCTATTCGGCACGACATATATATATATAATATATATATATATATATATATATATATATATATTAATATATATATATATATATATATATATATATAAATATATATGTATGTATATATATATATATATATATATATATATATATATATATATATATTTTATATATATATATATATATATATATATATATATATATATATATCAACAAATCGGCCGTCTCCCACCTAAGCAGGGTGACCCAAAGAGAAAGAAAATCCCCAAAAAGAAAATACTTTCATCATCATTCAACACTTTCACCTCACTCACACATAATCACCGTTTTTGCAGAGGTGCTCAGAACACAACAGTTTAGAAGCATATACGTATAAAGATACACAACATATCCCTCCAAACTGCCAATATCCCAAACCCCTCCTTTAGAGTTCAGGCATTGTACTTCCCATTTCCAGGACTCAAGTCCGGTTATATAAAATAACCGGTTTCCCTGAATCCCTTCACTAAATATTACCCTGCTCACACTCCAACAGATCGTCAGGTCCCAAATACCATTTGTCTCCATTTACTCCTGTCTAACACGCTCATGCACGCTTGCTGGAAGTCCAAACCCCTCGCCCACAACACCTCCTTTACCCCCTCCCTCCAACCTTTTCGAGGACGACCCCTACCCCTCCTTCCTTCCCCTACAGATTTATACGCTCTCCATGTCATTCTACTTTGATTCATTCTCTCTAAATGACCATACCACCTCAACAAGCCCTCTTCTGCCCTCTGACTAATACTTTTATTTACTCCATACCTTCTCCTAGTTTCCACACTCCGAATTTTCTCCATAATATTTACACCACACATTGCCCTTAGACAGGACATTTTCACTGCCTCCAACCGCCTCCTCGCTGCAGCATTTACAACCCAAGCTTCACACCCATATAAGAGTGTTGGTACTACTATACTTTCATGCATTCCCTTCTTTGCCTCCATAAATAACATTTTTTGCCTCCACATATACCTCAATGCACCACTCACCTTTTTTCCTTCATCAATTCTCTGATTAACCTCATCCTTCATAAATCCATCCACTGACACGTCAACTCCCAAGTATCTGAAAGCATTCACTTCTTCCATACTCCTCCTCCCCAATTTGATATCCAATTTTTCTTTAACTAAATCATTTGATACTCTCATCACCTTACTCTTTTCTATGTTCACTTTCAATTTTCTACCTTCACACACACTCCCAAATTCGTCCACTAACCTTTGCAATTTTTCTTTAGAATCTCCCATAAGCACAGTATCATCAGCAAAAAGTAACTGTGTCACTTCCAATTTTGTATTTAATTCCCCATAATATAATCCCACCCCTCTCCCGAACACCCTAGCATTTACTTCTTTTACAATCACATCTATAAATATATTAAACAACCATGGTGACATTACACATCCCTGTCTAAGACCTACTTTTACCGGGAAGTATTCTCTATTCTCCCTCTCTTCTACACACCCTAACCTGAGCCTCACTATCCTCATAAAAACTCTTTACAGCATTTAGTAACTTACCACCTATTCCATATACTTGCAACATCTGCCACATTGCTCCCCTATCAACTCTATCACATGCCTTTTCTAAAAACATAAATGCAATAAAAACTTCCCTACCTTTATCTAAATACTGTTCACATATAAGCTTCAATGTAAACACTTGATCTACACATCCCCTACCCACTCTAAAACCGCTCATCTGCAATTCTACATTATGTCTTACCTCTAATTCTTTCAATTATAACCCTACCGTACACTTTTCCTGGTATATTCAGTAAACTTATTCCTCTATAATTTTTACAATCTCTTTTGTCCCCCTTCCCTTTATATAAAGGGACTATACATGCTTTCCGCCAATCCCTAGGTACTTTCCCCTCTTTCATACATTTATTAAACAAAAATACCAACCACTCCAACACTATGTCCCCCCTGCTTTTAACATTTCTGTCATGATCCAATCAGTTCCAGCTGCTTCACCCCTTTTCATTCTACGTAATGCCTCACGTACCTCCCCCACACTTACATCCTGCTCTTCTTCACTCCTTAGAGATGATATACCTCCCTGGCCAGTGCATGAAATTACCGCCTCCCTTTCTTCGTCGACATTTAAAAGTTCCTCAAAATGTTCTCGCCATCTACCCAAAACCTCCATCTCCCCATCTACTAACTCCCCTTCTCTGTTTTTAACTGACAAATCCATTTTTTCCCTAGGCTATCTTAAATTGTTTAACTCACTCCAAATTTTTTTCTTATTTTCTTTAAAAGTCCTTGACAGTACCTCTCCCACTCTATCATGCGCTCTCCTTTTGCACTCTCTCA